GAAAGATATAACATGAACAATAACTTCAATTAATGATAACCAACAATGAAAGAGATAACATGTATAATGACTTCAAATAATTATAATCAACAGTGAAGAGATAGCATGTAACAATAAAAGAGGCAACAAGTTCAACTAAAGCATGAGAGCAATTTATCAATTAGGATGTAGAACAAGTGTTAACGAAATCATTTAGGCATTTAAGGATAGACTAACACAAGTAAGAATAGATTGACTATGAGAATTTGGAACATGATATGGCATTTCAATTAAAGCATAAAAATAGTCTAAGTAGCCTAAACCGGTCAAATACCACGTACAATCCGTGTACCTACTCGTCATCTTGCGTACAAGTCTTTCACATAGCACAAATGAATCAATCAATACTAATCCTAAGGGGTAGTTCCCCCACACAAAGTTAGGCAAGACACTAACCTCAATTATGTTAATTCAACACTCAAAAATAGTTTTCATGTGCCTCCACACGGCTCAAATCTAACCAAAATCGAATTAATATCGTCACAAAATATTAGGGAAACCAATGGCAATAGATAAAGCTAAGTTCTTTATACGTTTTCCAAAATGTCAACAAAAGTCAACCCGGGCCCGTCCTGTCAAAATCCGGGTCCAATGGTAGATTTCGTCTACTCATGATCCCACGAGTTCATATATGTGATTAGTTTAAAAATTCGAGTCCAAATCGACTCTCAAAACTCAATTTCTTATTTTTTAAAACCTTGACAAAGTTTCATAAATTTTCACTTTGATTCATATGATTTTGATATTAAAATCTAAGATATGTTGATGAAATATGATTAGAAATAGATTAGAATCACTTACCCAAGGTTTGTAGGTGAAAACCCTCTTTACAAATCGCCTTCTACCGAGTCTGTGGTTCAAAAATGAGATAATGTGCTCAAAATTCCCGTCTCCTAACCCTTTTACCAGTTGCACATGTCGCATTTGCGAACCCTCGCAATTCCAGAACAGGGCTCGCATTTGCGAACCCTGACAGCCTAAGTCATCATCGCATTTATGAGAAATACTTCACAATTGCGAAGCTGGGAACTTTGCAAAATCGAACAAATGTTTTCAATTGCGAACTCTGTCAAAATTTTGTTGCCTTCGCAAATGAGAAGGGGAACTCGCATTTACCACAACTGCCCCCCTTCTGTCACCTTCACAAATGCAACCCTGGTGTTTGCATTTGCGACACCAGATTTTGCAATTTTAGTCCAAACTACTCTGGAACATGTCCGAAACTCATCTGAGCCTTAGGGGCTCCAAACCAAATCTTTACACAAGTCTACAAATATCGTACGAACTCACTCGCTTGATCAAAATACAAAAATAATATCTAAAACTACGAATCAAACACTAAAACGCATGAATTTCAAAGTAAAGTTCAAGAATTTCTAAAGTTACAACTAAAGCCCGAATCATATCAAATCAATTCAAAATGACACCAAATTTTGCAGACAAGTTCTAAATACCATAACAGACCTGTTCCAAGTCCCAATATATAATTCTGAGCTCGATAGCTAAAGGTCAGCATATGGTCAAACCTTTTAGCTTCAAATTTCTAATTTTTGGCAAATCAACACAAATCGACCTATGGACTTCCGAAATCAATTTCGGGCATATGCCCAAGTGTAAAATCATGATATGAATCATATCCAAAAAAATAGGGTTCCAGGGTCAATTTTACAAAAGTCAAAGTTTGGTCAATATTTTCTAATTTGAACCTCTAGGTCAAGAATCAAGGGTCCAAATCAATCCAAAAGCTTCCCGAAATAAAACTAACCAACCCCGCAAGTTATAAAACCATAAACACACATGTGTGAAGCATAAAAAGGCGAAATGGAGAGCAATTACACAAAACGACCGGTCGGGTCGTTACAACTATGGTCCACACTCATGCTTGCTTCAGTTAAATGGGTTGAAACACCCCCAAACCCCTCAGGTCCTATCTTAAAAGACCCAACTAGTCCAATAATACTATACATACCTATCCAATGTCTTTAAACATAAAGTGAAGCTCAAATACTTGAATCGGGGGATAAAGTTACTATTTGAATTCCTTGAACTTCTAAATTGCATGCAATGGTGTTGAATCTTCCTCGAGCCCTACTGGTCCAAGCCACCTATACCTCAAGTCATAAAACAATATATATATATACACTCAAATTTTCAAAATGTGAAACGGGAAAAGTAAAATTAGTTTTTTACTTTATCCCCTCTTAAATAAATATTCATCATAAAATAGGTTTAGAAATGTACTTGGGATATCAAACAAGTGCATCTATCCGCTACACATGTCTCCCAAGTGGCTTCCTCACTCGACTGATTCTTTCAAAATATTTTCACTGAAACAATCTCTTTCAACCATAGCTTTCGGACTTGCTTATCCACAATGACCAATGGCTCCACCTCATATGTCAACTTCTCATATATTTGTATTGTGCTAAAATCCAGAACGTGTGACTTATCCTCATTGTACTTTTGAAGCATGGATAGATGAAATACAGAATATACCCCGATAGAGTAGGAGAAAGGCAAGTCTATACGCCACCTCTCTAACCCTCTCTAGAACACCAAACTGGCCAATGAATCTCATACTCAACTTTCCCTTCTTTCCAAACCTTATCACGCATTTAATGGGTGAAACCTTCAAAAGTACATTCTCACATTCCATGAACACAAAATCACAAACCTTTCAATCTGCATAACTCGTTTGCCTACTCTAAATTATGTGAAATCGCCCCTAAATCACTTAACATTTTTTAAGAAATCTCGTACAAAATCTGTACCCAATAATGTAGCATCACCGGGCTCAAACTAACCAATAGAATAATGATATTGCCTACCATATAATGCCTCATTGGCGCTTTAAGAATACTTGACTGGTAACTATTATTAAAAGTAAACGTCGCCAAGGGAAAAAATTGACCCCAATGACCTAACTCTCAACTTGTCCTTGAGCATTTGAATTGTCCACTCTGACTGAACATCGGTTTGCGGATCAAACATTATGCTAAGATCAACCTGTGTATCTAACTATATCTATACAATTCTCAAAAAGTTAGATGTGAACTATGTATCCCATTCTGAATGATGGAAATAGGTACCCTATGCAAACAAACTAACTCCCAAATATAAATCTATGCAAGCTTTTCCGACGAGTTGGTAGTCAGAATTGGAATGGAATGCACAGATTTGGTTAACCTGTCAATAATGATCCAAACTATGCCATACTTCCTCAAAGTATGTGGTAAGCCTACCACAAAGTCCAAAATAATTTGTTCTCACTTTCATTCAAGTACAGTCATCTTCTGAGTCAAGCCACCCGATTTCATGCTTGATCTGTTGGCAATTCGAACACCTTGAAACATGCCCAACACTATCCCTCTTTATCATACGACACCAAAAATATTACTTCAAGTCATAGTACATCTTTCCAACTACTGGATGGATAGA